AAAACATATCATTTTGACGCGAACACGGACCAATATGTCTAAGTTTTGACGCGGACCAATATGTCTAAGTTTTGAATATTTGTTTCAAAGATAAAATTTTTTGTCTGGAAAAGAAAATTGTTGAATGATAAAATAGTGTGTACTATTGACTGTAAAACATGGTGGATTAGTATTAAGATGTGGTACTGTTTTGGTAACAGGTGAAAACAAAAGTAGTTTAATTGTACAGTGAAAAAATTATGCTGCACCTTAAGAAAGATTTTTTATTAGATCATTGCTGAGAAACTATTTATTTTTTCAAAAGAAATGACTTGAAGCTTAAATCTAATATATATTTTTCAAAAAATAAATTGTTTGAATTGAGAACAATCAAATATTAAATAAAATGATTTAGCCTCTGCAATCGCAAGATTGCAGAGGCTCTTTCCTATCGGATTTTTATGGGAGGATTTAAAAGTAATGTCAAAAACTAATGCCTAATGATGCATAAGATGTGGAAAAAACTTATTATTTAGTGGCTTAAAATTGATTTCAATAAATTAGATAAGTGGTTAAGTAGAAAGCCAAGATTATCTATATTGGTTATTGTCGCAAAGGGTGATTTAAAGGCAAATTATAAACTATTCTAATTGTACTTCATATTAGTTTTTTTGTAAACCTAATAAAATAGAAATTAACTTATAAATCAGGTAGACTTTGCTTGCAGTTTTTCTCCCAATAGTAAGTAAAACTATATCTTAAATAGAAAAAAAAAAAAAAAAAAAAAAAAAATATATATATATATATATATATATATATATATATATATATATATATATATATTCCTATAGTAAAGATTTATACATAAATAGATAATCTTGGCTTTCTACTTAACCACTTATCTAATTTATTGAAATCAATTTTATGCCACTAAATAATAAGTTTTTTCCACATCTTATGCATCATTAGGCATTAGTTTTTGACATTACTTTTAAATCCTTCCATAAAAATCATATAGGAAAGACCCTTTGCAATCTTGCGATTGCAGAGGCTAAATCATTTTATTTAAAATTTGATTGTTCTCAAGTCAAACAATTTATTTTTTGAAAAATATATATTAGATTTAAGCTTCAAGTCATTTCTTTTGAAAAAATAAATAGTTTCTCAGCAATGATCTAATAAAAAATCTTTCTTAAGGTGCAGCATAATTTTTTCACTGTACAATTAAACTACTTTTGTTTTCACCTGTTACCAAAACAGTACCACATCTTAATACTAATCCACCATGTTTTACAGACAATAGTACACACTATTTTATCATTCAACAATTTTCTTTTCCAGACAAAAAATTTTATCTTTGAAACAAATATTCAAAACTTAGACATATTGGTCCGCGTCAAAACTTAGACATATTGGTCCGTGTCCGCGTCAAAATGATATGTTTGTATTTATTTTTGCCTTTATTAAAGCATTTTATCTAAAATACTTTTAAATTATCATAAAAAAAAAAACATAAAAAATTAGTTTAATAAAAATTAGCATTTAAAAAAAAGTTTATGTCATTCGAACAGTTGTAATATATATATATATATATATATATATATATATATATATATATATATATATATATATATATATATATATATATATATATATATATATATATATATATATATATATATATATATATATATATATATGTATATATATATATATATATATATGGGTGTGTGTGTGTATATATATATATATATGTGCGTATATATATACATGTGCGTATATATATATATATATATATATATATATATATATATATATATATATATATATATATATATATATATATATATATATATATATATATATATATATATATATGTGTGTGTGTATATATATATACATATATATATATATATATATATATATATATATATATATATATATATATATATATATATATATATATATATATATATATATATATATATATATATATATATATATATATATATATTTTATATCAACATATTTATTTAAATATGTTGATATAAAATGATTTATATTTGTTGAGAAGTTTTTTGTAATTTTAAATGTTCCTCAGTTCTTGAATGTTAAGTGGTTTGACCACATAACAAGTATTACAGCTTTTACACACAAATTTATTTATGACAATTAAGATGTTGAGGAGTTTTATCTTTTGTTGAAAAATATGTATTAATTTTAAAGGATGAAGATGCTAAATTAATATTAAGAGTTTTGCAATGTTTTTTACTTAAGTCATTTTTATTTTGAAATTGTTATGACATTTTACTAATATACGGCATTTTAAAGTAATTTATTTTTGAGGAATAGATAATTTCTTTATATTCTTTTTTATATAGTCTGTTTAGGTAGGTTTCTAAAACCCAATCAATTAGTTTTGTCAAGTAAGATTTTTTTTTGAAAATATGCTAAAGTTCAACTAAATTAGAATTTATGTTTATGTATGGTTCGAGAAGGTTAACAAGAAATTGTGCAAGTTTTTAGTAATAAGAACCAATGGAAAAAACTATAGATCAAAAATTAAAGTTATTAATTGAGTCAAAAAATTTATGAGTCTCAGGTAGATCATAAAAAAATATAGGTTTGGTATTAAAATATTGTGCTTCAGTAAAGAATTTTTAATCAATAAGTTTTTTTTAATTTTTGTTATAATTGTCTTTTTCTCAGTTAGGTCATGTGCTATTACAACCATTTGGTAATTTAACACACAATTTAGCACTGAAGTATGGTAATAAAATTGGAAATTGATGAAAGTATAAAAAAATTTATTATTTGAAGTACAAAAAGTTGATATTAAATTTCTATTACATTGTCAAAAAGTCTTCCAAACGCAAACCCGTATGATATCAGATCGATTCGAAAAAGACTTCTACGCAGCACTCTTTGCAAAAGAATTAAAGAAATAAATGTTATTCAAAATCAATAATCATCTTCAGAAAAGACACTCGTTTCTTAATTTACCTCTTTTGAATTTTACTTTTTAAAGAAAACTATAACACTGTAAAATCAATGAAAAAATTACTTAAAATACACACTAAAAAATTGAAAAATTTAACTAAAAACTAAACAGTGCCTTTAACCACTAGAAATAAGGAAATCATTAAAAATTTCTCACTCTATTCACTAACCAAAGAAGTAGATATTTTGAAAAATGGTTTAAACTATTCAATTCCCCCATTGAGACTAATGAAAATAGGTATCTTTGCATTGCTAGAAATGATAAGCCATAAAATACCTTTGGCGCAGTGTTTACTGACCTACAAGTTGCTATCTGTATATTTATGTTTTGTCTGAACCTCTGGCACTATGTTCACTTCCGTAAGTTACTTTATGTATGTTAGTGTTCTATCTGAACCTCTGGCGCAGTGTACATTCACTCACAAACTTTATGTTTGTTTGCTTTCTGTATAAATCTCTGATGCAGTGTGAGCTTAGCAACTAACTAGTGACTCAAATTGTAATCCTACACTTACATTAAATTATAAAATCTAGGCTCACCTTAATCTCTAGCATTTTGTTCAATTTAATGTTTTTCTACATTTATTTTCAAACTATTTTGTTTAATGCTTTAAAGTAATGTTTACAAGAAGTGACTCCATTTAATTTAATACCAGGTCAGATCAGGTTCAGGATCATTATGATCACCCTGCTAATAATACCATGCAACTCAGTACTACCTTCCTTATGTCCTGTAGCATTGAAGAGCTTGCTTTTTTAGGCAAAGGCTAGGAGAATCAAACTTAACTGGCCTAATTTTTTGTTTTTATAACTTGTGGAACCAAAATATCTTTTTTTTTCCTAAAACACCCAATAATTAATTGCAGCTAATCAAGCCTTCGTTATAGCATTAGATTGTTATGTAACTCATTATGTTATCTGGAAATGAGAATTTTAAACTTAATTTGTTGATTTTAAGATTGGTCAATAAGGTTTGCATTTCCAAAGTTACATTAAGAGCATTTTGTAGCAAAAAATCATTTTTGCAACAAAAATAAAATAATTCAACAACTTTAATTAAAACAGTTTAGATCTCTAAATGATTGCTCTTGTTTTTGAAGGTTTTGTTTTTAATTTATTTGACTTAATACTAAATTTTTTCTATTAGTTTTCTTATTTTTTGTATATATTTGATTAATATTTAATTGTTTCCATTTATTGATTTCTAAAAGCTTATTTGTGCTTAAAATTTTAAAGAACTAACACATGAAAAAAAACTTCTTTTAAGTTATAACACCCGACCTTTAGAATAGATATGTCATATGTTTTACAATTGACTTATCTTTTAAATCACTATTTTTGCTTTTTTTTTAAATCAATATTTTTGCATAAATGTTTTGAGAGATGCCAAATCATCACAATATTTTTAAAGACTCTTTTCAATTTATGGTTTTTTAAAATGTTTCACTTTCTCTAATTTTTTTACTAAAAAATACAAGGCATTATTCACAAAAACATTTTGTAATGTTTTTAACTTACTCCAAATCAAAATCCTACCAAAATTAAAAAAGTTAATAATTAGACATCATTTTTAGTAAAAAACATTAAAAAAGTTTATATATACTTTTTAAAGTTGTCTAAGGAGCATTAATTTGAGTTGTGTTAAATAAGTTAGTAAGTTAGATGAGATAATCAAAAATAAATAATTTTAATCAAAAACTTTAATCAAATTGTACTCAAAAAATGATTTTTATGAACAATTATTTTATAAAAATAAATTTTACTCTAAAAAATCAACTTTTTGAGTTCAACCTCCAAACTTACTCTTACCCAGTCTCTATAAAAATCAAAATCAGACTTATGACTTGATACCCTTAAAAAACCTCAATCCTAATAAAAATCAAACCATAACCCTAATTCTTATAAAAATCAAAAATGTCAGGTTACAACCTGACATCTTTGATTGCAAATCAAAGGTTTCAACCTGATATACACCTAGGAAAACACAATTACTATAAATAAAACCAAACAAAAGCTAATACCTGATTGTTCTATATAATATGTTGATGGAACTTCTAGATACAAACTAATCATATGTTCTGTATTAGATATCTCATATAGAGAGGTTAGTGTATACCAATAATTATCAAATGTTTGGTTTATGTAAACATCAAATATCTCATTATAATGGACTGATTGGAACTGACTAGAAGGATCAATTGAATTGAATGCAACATCTCCAGGGGTATCGTTACTATAATCAGGCATCCATGCTAAAAACTGACCAGGTGTTGTTGTAAAACGATCATTGTATGGTACTACAAAATCATTTTGACCTAAAAATAATAACACTTGTTTGTGAGGTTATCTTAATTTATATCATGCTTTATCATAAAATACAACCTATGACTACCTATAACTGTTGCATTGACTGTAAAGCTATATACAACTTTAAAAAAAATCTGTGGAAATGTCCAAGGTGTCAAGGTAGTTGATCCAAAAACAGTGTAATATGGGTAAAAAATGTCACTTGCACTATTCGGAACATATGTATTGGAAACTGGTGCACATTTAGTGGATACTAAATCACATTTTCTTGAAAGAAAACACGATTTTAATCCACTATACGCTTCACAGGCTGTCTGCAAAATCTAAAGTAAATAGAAAAATAAAGAAACATTTTTTCTTACCTTTGGACACAACATAATCTTTTTTTTTTCTTATTGGTAAAATTTTTTTTTACTTTTTATGTGCACTAAAAAATATATTTCAGTGTTTAATGCAAATTATAGTGATTTATGATTATCTTGATTATAACAAAAAGATTTTTGAAATAATCAGATGATTTACAGTTTCCATTTTCAAGTTTTGTGATTTAGTATGTTTAGATTTAGATTTGGTGCCTTAATAAAACCACAAATTTCAATTTACCCAAAATTTGCTGTTTTAAAATTGGATTTAGGGTTAATTTAGATATTATATCAAATAATTGTTACATATCACAAAACTAAAAAAAATTGGATATTAAAAATATTTAAAAGTCAAAATATTTAAACCACAAAACAGTACCAGTGCAAAACCATAATATCTCAAAACTATTATGAGTAATTTAATGATAAAGTTTTTAGTTATAGAATATTTCTTAGGTTTAAGTAAGCATAATTTTTATATCTTTATTTTTAATGACTTTTTAGTGTCAAGTCAAATCAAAAATTATTAAAAAAACAAAAACACAAAGGCTCAATGTTTGGAAAAATTTTTTTTTTTTTTAAGCTTCTGCAGTAACATAAAAAAATGCAAATAAAATATCTTCAAGTAACTTGTTCAATTTAAATTATTAAAGTTGTAAAATAATAAATTATATTTTATACATTTTATTCTAAATTTTTTGTGTTTTTATTATCAAGAAAAAAGAACTGGTTTAAAATTATTTAGTTTCTTCAAAAATGAGATATTGGTTGAATCTTAATAGAAGTACTAAGAACTGAATTTGCTCTGATACTTGAGAAAACAGGTGTACAAATCCAATGTATCAAGTCAGATTATCATGCTACCTATACTGCTTTTTTAGGCAAAGGCTAGGAGAAGCAAAATCTAACATAAAACACCCACTGCCTAGGGGCTCATTGTGGAGTAAAGACTAGAAATCGTGTCTTGATAAAAATACTCATTTTGGGCAGACATTAAATGCATCCTGATACTGTCTTGTAAAATACCTTCTAGGCAAAGACTTAAGGGTAAACAGATTTTATCTGTTGACCAGCCTCACACCCTTTCTTCATCTATTAGGCTAGCATAGATGTATCTATAATACATTGCTAGTTTAGGATGTTAAACGCTGGTTCTTCTTGACTCAATGTAAGGGTTTTGCTTGTGGTATGTTTTTATGACTAGGCAACTCATTCTATTATCTCCTAATGAGGGTACAGCTCTAAAACTCAGTCTTATGATTATGAGGCCGGCTAGTAACAGGTTTCCTGAACTCTATGGTAGCTCTTAGAGGGGCATATCTAATCCATAAATAACTGTTAAGTATTAAAGTACTAACAGTGCCACGTTGCACTTGGATGATTCATGAGATGGTACCCTGTTCATACTTTTGGAGTGGATTGTCAAGGCAACATTTGGAGCCCTTAGTTCAGCCTAAGGTTTATTAATATTAATGTGGAAACTACCTGAACAATTAAATAGTGTACTGAGTTTTGATTTATCTGCGTTTTGATTCAAGTTATTTAACAAATTTAAAATGATCAAAGTACCAAAAAGTAATAAAAACAAAGAACTATCATAATGACTAAGTTCAATAAATCTATCATTCACTAATATTTGTGGTTTTCAAAGTAACTTTTCTTCTGTTGAGTCTTACCTCTTGAAAACTACTTGCTCTTTTTAAGACTAACTGGCTTGAGCATCTATGCTCATAAAAATACACTTATTTGTAGGGAAACTAGGTTTGAATGCACAAACAATTCTATTATGTGCTTTTGTTTAGCACCACTTTACTCTATTGCCTTTCTCTTTGTTTTCTAAACTTCTTGGATTCTGACTGGCATGGAATCTTTTATTACTTCTTGACAATTCCATATAAGGCCTCACTTTTCTCCATATTTCCCTCTAATTACTGCTGCAATTTCCGATCGACCGTTACTTTTATTGCTATCAGCAAAACAGTTCTCCAGAAAACAGGAGTCTGTTTATTACTGCTAAAACTATTGTAAAATGTTTAAGTCTATGCCAAAGTCGCTATTCTCTGGTCATGAAATCTTGTGTTTCATCTCAAAAATTAGGCTATCATCATTTCTGGAGAAACTTTAACAGTATCTATAATAAGGGCAAATCTGTTATTCCACCTCTCTTGAAAGTTTCAAATTTTGTTACCTCACCTAAAGACAAAGCAGTATTGTTTGCTAAAAACTTTTCATCAATATCATCTCTTGGTTTCACTAGTTGCATTGTATGTAATAAAACTGAAAAACAGGTTTATCTTTAGGGGTTACTTAAGGTTCTATTCTTGGCCCTATACTTTATTTACATTAACAATCTTCCAGAATGGCTGATGATACTATTATTTATTCTTGTCTTGATAAAAAGAGCCAACACTTTCTGATTGCTTGGAGGGGGCATTTGAGCTTGAAAATGATATCACTTTTGCTACAGCATGGGGCTCTCAGTGACTGGTGAACTTTAACTCAATCAAATCCTAATTTTTTTCCACTAATCATTACCACAATAATCTAGATTTTCCTATATTTATGAAAAGTAATGTATTCGATGAGCCAATGGAAACCATTTCGATTGCAAAATTAGCATCTGCTAAGGTTCAGGGTAGTCACATAATATTTTTATAAGAAAAAGAGGATATTAGAGGATTTTAGAGGAGATTTTGCATTTAATTTAGAGGATTTTTTTGCAAAACTACAAAACTTTGAATAAAAACAAAGGATTTTAAAGGATTTTTTTTCAAGGTTTAACGTCTATGTTTCCACATAACTGGGGTTTGGACAGGGGTCAACAATATCATTTTTGTTAGATGACATGGATTAAAATTGTTTTTATAAACCAATAAAATGTTTGACAATACTAAAGAATTGGTTGTTAAAGATTTGATTGTGGACGAAGTAAAAAAAGACTCTACAAAAGATCAATAAACTCTGATTCAAACTTTGAGTTTATTAAAGTTTGATTATTATTTTATTATTATCTTATTGAGTTTATTAAATATAAATGAATATAAAACTTAACTATGATTAAACTATAAGTAATTTTTTTTAAATGTTTAAAAAGAATTTATAAAAATGTTCAAAAAATTATCTACAAAACATTTTATTTTAAAAAAATCTTTATTTACAAAAATGGGGGGGGGGGGGGCGGAGTTTAAAAAACGTGATTGTAATGACGACTACTTTTAAGTCCATCAGAATGCAGTATAAAATCTTTAATTCAATTTAAACTTTCAAAACATATACATTTTTCCTTAAGAAATTAGTGTTATAAAACATTGTTGAAGTTCTTGCTTCAGTTAAAACTGCTGTTAAGTTAAGTAAAACATGTTTTTTTAAATACTTGTTTGAAAGGTTTTAACCTATCCATATTAATAAAGCCAAAAAACATGCTTTTATAAAAAAATGGATAGATAAGAAAAGATATCTAGTTTTAATAAATTTATTAATTTGTTTACATAGTGTAAACATAACATTTACTAATTACTAAACTTTTTTTTTTTTTTTTTAAGGTTAAATACATCAACTTAAAACTTAAAAAGCAAATTATTGATTTGAATTTCTTACCAAAAACCTAATTCCTCCAAGTTTTGTGACAAAGGCACTAAATCCTGTTATAACACCTGATGATGATATCAGATGATTGAGACTGACAATAACAGCTGAACGTTTTTTATCATCAAAAGTTAAAGTGTAACTTTGCAATCGATTAGTTTCACTGTTACCACCAATTTCCAAATAAATTGAAGCTAAAATAAAAATCTATTAAATTCATTTTTTTCAGTTAAAAATAATATATACAAAAAAATAATATAATAAACCTGAAGGATTTGGATATATATATTCTGCAAAGCTTGTTGAAAAAATGTCATCTTTAAATACTTGAATTTTTAATTGTTGCAAATTATCTGGGCCAGTAAGATCAAGAGTCATATTAAATGTTGCATTCACTTGAGATTTAAACTGACGTGAAGCATTAAAAGAACAAGTTACATCTTTAACTTCAACAACCATTTGATGGATTTCACTAGGACATCCATAAAAAGCTAAATTTAAAAATAAATAATAGAAGAGAGAAAAGAAAACAACTTTGTTAAAATCATTTTAAGGCTACTGACCATTTGCATCAACTTCTATAGAGTAGTTTCCCGGCATCCCAATTATTACAGATGATATTGTGCTAGATGGATATATTGCAAGCCTATCATTTATTACTAAGCCAAATGTATTTATGCTACCAGTTGAAGTTACTATAACATCAAATGGGCTGTTTACATATGTTTTTAAAGGTGTTTGTGCAGCAATTGAAATACTGATACCAGAACTATCATAGACCTTGAGTAAAATTACATTTTAAAAATTCACTTCAGTTCAGATAACAAAAAAATAGTAAATAAATTCGACTAAATTTCAAACACATACCAAAATGTTTTATGAAAAAACACACATTTTACGCAAAAAAGTTTATAAAATTTTGTTGACTAAAATAAAGTTTCATGACTATTATAATTTTACTAGCAGTTATCTTCCTTTTTTTTACTTTGAATTTATATCTCTTTGTAAAAATCTACATCATTTACAGATTCTTAACTTTATTATTGTTATATTTGATGCAGGCAATCAAATCTCCGCTACATCTACTTCATTGTATAATTCAATGGTGATTGAACTAGACTGAGCAATAAAAACCCACAAAGAAATATAAAACATTTCTATTGAAAAAAATTTTTATATAAAGGAGGATAACTAATAAAAACAAAGAAAAATGAACAGATGTTTAGTATAAACACAGATTTATTTTAAGAAGAAAAAGTTTATACACAATCATTGTCAACAGTAATTTTATCATTAAAGTATATCTAAATCAAAACAGGACACATAAATAAATAAATATAAAATGATAGGAGATATAAGATAAAGAAAAAACATAATTGCTTTTGTGTAATCATGATTTATGCAGTGGTGGTAATAAACTTCTCCTCAAAATCACGTTTATTATTACTGGCATTTTGAAGAGGCTTAACACCAATACCTAATTTATCCTGTCAGATAAACATCATCGCTATTTATACTTTAACCCGCAATTCATGCCTGCTCCATGCAGTAAAAAAAGGACTTCACTATAAACAGCCAAAACCCTAACTATACCCAAATTTGAAAAGTATGAAATGTGAATTCAAATCCAAATGACAAAATGAAAGATATTTAAATCAAAATATAAAATATTATAACACTAACTAAAATAATAAATAAAAAAATAAATTATTATACAAAAATAAAAAATGCATTTACCATATCACTGGTCGAAAAATTTGTCGAAATAATTAAATAGAAAATAATAAACATAATGATGAGTTCTAATAGAAAAAACTAAAATACAACATATCATCGCAAACGTAAAAAACATTATAAAATAAACTTTATTAAAACCACAGCTCTTTGCTGGTACTTATTGGAAAAATACACTCAAGCCGATAAGATGAAGAAACCTGTGTCAAATTGGAAAAACAACAAAACCAAATACATAGTATACAAACACCTTACGTTGTCATAGATACATTTGTGATAAATAAGATAAACACAAAAATTTTATAAAAAAACACGTAAATATTTTTAAAATTTAGGCAAAAAAGTTCATAATATTTTTTTGAGTTAAATTTTGTTAAGTTTTGTGACCATTATGATTTTACTAGTATTACTGTTTTCTTTTTTTCTTAATTTTAGTTTGTCTTCTTGTAAAAATTTACATTATTTACAGATTCTTAACTTTATTGACAATTCTTAATTTTCTTTTTAGGGTGGTTCATAAAAAAAAATTTTGTTATGAACCACCCTAGTAAGTTTCAACTCCAGTATAACAAAAGTTTAAAATCCTAAAAAAAACTATCAACACGCTGAAAAAACTATCAAAAATAACTATCAACATGCTGCTACTCAATTGCAAAGAAATGGACATCCAAAATTACATAAAAATTTTAATAAAAAAATCATATTTTATAAAAACATCTTAAAAAATTTTTGGAAGAACTCAACTAAAAAAGTTAATTTTTTTTTTTTTTTATTGTTTGAAAAAAATCATTTTTTTTTTTCTAATAAAATAAATTATACTAATGTGTATATAAAATGATTACTACTTCACAAATAAAGAAACAGAACAAAGGATTTGATTCTGTCAGAGCTTTTAGAACATCATAAAAAAATAAAAAGTGCCAATAATAAAGTATTATTTGTTTTCTCCACTTTTGCAATCTTAAAAAAATTTGCCTACATTTAACAATGAATTGCAAGGAATGTGTTTTTCAGCCATATTTGAACCTTTTTGAATGCACAAAAATATATTTAACACAACTTTCAGTGTTTAATAAATCCTGATTTATACACTGTGTTAACAGACATCGACATCTGATTTCAAATGATGACGATATAAATATGTTGATCTGCTTATGCAATTTTTAATTTTTATGCAAACATAAAAAGCTTATAATAAAAACAAAATTAAAAACCAAGTTAAATAAATAAACTCTTATTCAAAAATTTTGAAATACTTTACATCAAAATTTTGAAAATTAAGAACTGGAAAGTAATGAACCAGAAAATAAGCCAGAAAGTACTAAACAAGAAAATACTGAACCAGGAAATACAAAACCAGAAAATACTTTTTAGTTAAAATTACTTAAATAAACAAAATATGAATAACCTCAGGTATTTTTTTATATAACTCTGAAAAAAATAGAAATTTGCTTATTAATCTGATTTGAGTAAGTTTGAGACAATTTTCATGCAAAAAAATTTAGAATATTTATTGTAAATACAGAATAAACAAACAATTTAAAGAATGATAAATTTTATTGAAAAAACCCAAACAGCTGAAACTTTTTTTAGATTTTGCAAAATCTTTTTTAAAATTTATAAATTTCATGCCAAAATAAATAAAAAGCCAGTACAATATCTAAAAAGTTTACTAAATTAAAAATATTTGTGAACTATAACAAAAAAAGATCACCACATGGAAATCATATTTATTTTTGTAAGTTTTTACTATTACGTTACTTTTTAAGAGGTATTAACCCTGATTTTCGCAGATTAGGACAACCAAATCAAAGATATGTAGTGTTTGAACACAAGCTCTATTAACTTTGTACTAAGCTTGAATAATAACTAGATACAAACTAAAACAATTTTTTTTTTTTAAACTGACCTGCCTATTAATTTTTAAATATTTTGAATGCATAATTGATTGTACTTAGGGTTGCCAGATGACTAGCTTTTACGAAGGAAAATACAATGCCAAATCTGTAAAAATAAATTTTTTATGCTGTTTTTCTTTGTAAACGCCAGGCAACCCTAATTATGCTTAACTACTTAACATTTCTAGCAATGAATGCAGCATTTTTATATTGGTTTTAACTTTACAAATAATGATGAACAAAAATAAATTTTATGCTAATTTTAACAATGTCTTCTATGTTAATTTTAATTCCTTTTTTAAAAGTCATCAATAGATTGCATTAATTAAAAAAAAAAAAAGAAGCAGCAAACTTTAATTTTTGACAGAAATTAAAAATAAAAGATATGAAATAGATATTATAAAATTATATATAAATAAAGAGTACAAAATTAAACTTTGAAGAAATAATGTCAATTAAGTAGTAAACATAATACTTAATAATTACTGCTGTTAAAGAAAAGTTGAGTAGTTTAGAAATAATTCAAAACAAATTTAACACGTAAAAAATTTAAGGATTTTTTATTTTTGACCATGATGTTAACTTTAAATACATTTTTAACTAAAAAAAACTTTTAAAATAAATTTAAACGTAAAAAGCTTAAAAAAACTCAATTTAACTTTTATAATTTTTATTTTTATTTTATAATTTTGTAAATTTTAAAACAACTTCCTCAATACAGCTTGAAAATTTTACTTTTGTATTAAATACAAAGTTAAGATAATTTTTATAAAATCTTTCTTTTTAGACTTCATATCATCATATGATGCGTCTATTTTTATACACATTTGACTGAGCTTACAAAATTTATTTTTATCCTATTCAGTTAAAAAAAAATTTTTTTTTCAGCAGAAATGAATAAATTTGTAAATATTATATTTTCAAGTATTATAATAAACTGTTGCGGTTTGTTTTTGTTTTTAGTTTATTTAAATTTTTTTAGAATCATATAATTACTTTATCAACAATATGTTGACAATAACTTTATAAGTTAATAATTTTTTTTAAAGTAATATATATAATATATATAAGAACAAAAAGATAATGAGTGTCTAAAACCAGTTTTAAAACAGAATTCAAAACAGAAACAAAAGCTTTTAAACTTAGTTTTAAAACATTTAAATTTTTAAATTTTCACTTTTAAACTAATAAATAGGGTGGTTCAAATTTAGGTCAAAAAATTTTTGAAGTTTAAGGGTAGGCCCAAAACTTTTTTTTTTTATCTTTTTTTGATGTTTTTCAACTCGCGTGTGCCATTCTTAAACATTAAATTCAAACTATTTTTTTTTTTACATATTCTTGCAAAGACCTATACAAAAAAATAAAAAGGCACTCTAACTCAATTTATTTTTTGAAAACTTTAAAAATTTCCTTTAAAAATACCTAAGAACAATTTTTTTTTTTTAAGTCTAATGAATTTTTTTATTATTTCTTTACACGCAACTATTTCAATGACAGCGGTATGATCTCATTGTTCAAATGTAATGATGATACTCAATGTTCAACATCTGCTATTTTAATAACATTAAACAAAATTTATAAACGTTAAATAAAAATCAATTTTATTAATTTATTTACATATAATAAAAAGTAAAATAAAAAATTCTTAAAAAAAAGAAAAATAGAGGCCAAGAAATATTCTTAGTTAAAAAAACTAGGAAGACTCTATCATCTATTCAATTTGCAACTGTAGAAGAAGTTATACAGTATTATCTTTACTTACGTGAGTCCAAACCATCAACTTCTCTCAAAAACTTAGTATGTTGTCCAAACAAAGGTTCTACATTTACACCGAATTGTCCAGATTCGGGAGAGAACTGCTGCGTTATATCTAAGCTGAAGGTTTCATGGAAACTTGGTGGATACAGAACTCGTGACATACAATACGTTTTACGGTTAGTAATATTTATGAAATCTTAATCTAAATTAGCTTTACAGTTATTTAATGTCTTATTTTTTGGAAAGAAGTTGAGGCTGTAGTAATAAAATACAAAAAGCTGCAATCGCTAAGGAACAGATCAACACCAGGAGCAATAAAAGATAGAGAGAACATCTTAATAAAATCTAAAAGGGTATTCTGGTTAGGACATGACATACAAATAATGATTGATGAAATAAAAATAAATAGAAAAAGAACTGAATAAAGTAAATGTATGGACAGAAGGAAAAAAGACAAGGTTGTCTAAGCATTTCTGATATCTGCTTCAAAAACTCCAACTTCATCTTGAGTTATCTCTAAGTTTAACATCAAAATTATGTAATACATTAAACTAAATTTTGTAATAAAAATACCATAGAACTATACGTTGAGCTTTTAACCCCGTCTTTTTGGGGAGAGTGGCAAATTTATATGGTCATAACTTTCGAACGCTACAATATTATAAAATTAAATTTAAAATCTGTCGATAAATGTAAATTTAGTTCAGAATAACATTAGTATAAATTTGGGCAACTTATTGCCCCACCTTTTGGGTAGGGGGGGCTAAGTTTTACGGTTTTTTTAGATCTCAGGCTCCGATCACTGAAATTTTTTCAAAGCATCACACTTTGATATAAGTATAGGTATAGATAGTTTTGAAGTTTTTTCCATGTCTACATGTTATTTATCACAAGCAGCAAAGAAAGCTACCACATCATTAAAATAAAGAAAATTTTTTGTCAATATGTAGCGACTTTTCTATAAGTTTTTCAGAGTTAAAAAAAAAAATATGAAAAGAGTAAACTTCCACTCTAGTCGTAAAAAATTTTTGACCTAAATTCGAACCATCCTACTGATAAATGATTGAAATTTGATTTTTCAAACTATATTTACGTAGAATGTAATACATCTTCACAGGCATAAATATTTTAAATAATAATTTATTTTAAAATAACAAATGTGTATTAATTTAGATCACTAAGCAACAGCTTGTGAAATCATCAAATCTTTTGAAAGAACAAAAAATTATGATCTGTGACTGTAGGTCTAAATTTTTATGCACACACAAAAAGCTCATGATCAAAACAAAATTAAAGACAATCATGATTGAAAACCATGTAAATTACTTATGATTTTAATTTTGAAAATACAGAACCTGAAAATACAGAATCTTTCTTGTACAATACTTAAATAAACAAAATATAAATAACCTATGCTAATATTTTATCAAACTTTAAAGCAAATAGAAATTTGCTTAATAATCTGATTTGAGTAAGTGTTGAAAATGTTCTTGCAAAACATTAGTAATTTAGAATCTTTCATTGTAAATACAGAATAAATTAAAAGTAAATACAGAATAAAAAAAAAAACATTTCCTGAATTTTAAATTTTATTGAAAAAATTTAAACAATTTCTTTTTCTTAGGTTGCAAAATCTTTTTTTAATTTTTTAAACTCGTGTCTATATGAAAACTAAAAATCAAGCACAAAAACTAAAAAGCTTACTAAATTAAAAAAAACTATGAACTATTGCAAAAAAAAAGCATAGGTTATTTATATTTTGTTTAAGTACTGCACAAGAAATTGTGGTGATTGTAGACTGGGAACAACAAAAACCCTAAAACTTAGCCCATTCCCCCCCCCCCCCAGACTCAAATAGGAGGGCAGGGATTCAAGTTTGTTTGTTTTTTTTTCAATCCTAAACTTAATTTATATTTATCAACGAATTTTAAATTTGATTCAATAATCTCTTGTTGTTCAGCTTTTATGACCTTATAAAGTTTACACCCTCTCAATTTGAGGGGGCTGTAAACTTTATAAGGTCATAAAAGCTGAACAACAAGAGATTATTTAATCAAATTTGATATATTTAGATTAAGTTTAAGATTAAAAAAAAAGACAAATTTGACACATTGCCCTCCTGTTTCGGGCTCAGGAAGCTAATGTTATAGGGTTTTAGTTATTTTTGAAAAAAAAAAACATTTTATTGCTATTTTTAAAATAAAATTAAACAGCAATAATCTATAACCATTAAGTACTACAATACACCCACTTACACCCAAAATACAAATTCACACATTTATAAAACCAAAGAAACACCTACTGAAATACAACTGCTGCTGTCACATGGTGTTATTGCTACATCACTACAATAGCAACTATTTGTTGTATTGTCAAAAGCAGCATTTTTGTTGTTTTTACATCCACATAAGGTTACGCAAGAAACTAGATCCATACTTCCTTCATAATCACTAAATTCAGGTGTTAGTACACCATCAACTTGTTTATACAAATTAGCTGAACCTATAAACTCACCTAAAATTCATAAAACATATAAAACAATATATTGTATATAAAAGTTTTAAAAATATAACACTAAACTTTTTTTAAAAATATAAAAAGATAAAAATAAAATATTATTATAACAGATAATGTTAAAAATTACATGTTAAAAATTACAAAGGATATTTAAAAACTCACCACTACTGTCAGTGGATCCCTGCAAAAAAAAATTATACTTAGTAAAATAAAATTATATTCAGTATTGATTTAAAATTCAATACTAGATATAATTATATAATTATTGTGGTTATTGAGGTGCTCAATAACCACTATATATATATATATATATATATATATATATATATATATATATATATATATATATATATATATATATATATATATATATATATATATATATATATATATATATATATATATATATATATATTAGTGTGGTTATTGAGGTGCTCCAAAAAGTCATTACGGTTTTACCACACTTACAGTCATTATACATATATATTATATATATATATATATATATATATATATATATATATATATATATATATATATATATATATAAATATATATATATATATATATATATATATATATATATATATATATATATATATATATATATATATATATATATATATATATATATATATATATATATATATATATATATATATATATATATATATATATATATATATATATATATATATATATACAAAAACTGTTAAAAAACAATAATTTTTATGCAATAAAATATGTATTTATTTATTTTTTATATTACTATTTTTATTTTTATATAATATTCTATTTTAATTTTTTTAATAGTTTTTTTAGCCATTTGTATGAATAGAATATAATCTCAAGCAATACAAAAAATATCAGTGATTGCTATGCAAAAAAGTAAACAACCGCAATTTTAAAGCAATAAAAGGTAATTTTAAACTCTAACTTTGTCTTTTTTTAACAATCAAAACAATTTTGCTCTTTTTCTACTTAATATCTTAAAATACAGAAGAAAAAAAAAAGTGGTTTTATTTAGGGTAAGGGAGAAATTCTTGCTGAGGCAATATATGTATATATATATATATATACATATATATATATATATATATATATATATATATATATATATATATATATATATATATATATATATATATATATATATATATATATATATATATATACATATATATATACATATATATATAAAAAATAACGCTGCATTTAAATATATATATATATATATAAATGCAGTGTTATTTTATTTACTTTAATTCATTAAGCAATCTAATTCAAATATATGAAGATATATGCAAGCAAAATAGGTATACATATATGAGCACAGTACTATCATGTCTATCGTAGCATGGTGCTCAAATTTTTTTTCCTAATAACAAGCTTAATTGTTGTATTTTTGAGTTAATGGGTTGAGGTTGTAATGACATTTAAAATATTTGAAAATCTTTAATTATTTAATTTTCTAGATTTTTTTTATTTTTATTTATTTTACTTTGCAGCTTAGATTATAGAATCATTTTATGCATATCATAAGTAATTAAAAGAGGTTATCATGTTAATAAAATTAGCTCTTAATTTAATTAAATTATTATTTCTTAGACATTTAAAAAATTGCAGGCTAAATAAAAAATTTAACAAAATTTTTAATGAGAATTAAACGAGTGTAAAAATTAGAATATTGAAGTTTTTTTCTTTCTTAGAATATTAAACAGTTTTTCGATTTTTTTTATTAGCTGAAACTAATTGAGTTAAGAATGAAGATGCCACTTAATGACATTAGCTCTATTTCAAGACCTTTATTAAGGTAAATTACATTCATTATTTGTCAATTCCTTGTCTAGGTGAACAAAGAGTGATGGTCAAAACAAAATTAAAACTGGTCTAATGAGAAACTCTTACTTCTGGTTAATGGAGTTCATTACTGGTTTTGCATTCTTTACTTAATTCATTCATTACTTTAGCAACATCCCAGTGAAAAATAACGCTTTTCCCACATGGATTCCATGTGGGTTCCGTGTGGGATTCATGGGTTCAAAAAAATGCTTGTCCCACATGAAACCTATGTGGGACAAGCATTTTTTTTTTCACTGGGATAGGTTTCATCAGAAAAAAAAAACACTTTTAGAACTCTGCATTAAAAAAATCTTCTTTTTTTTTTAAAGGAGATTCAGTCGTGTAATTATTATTGAGAAAAAAGAATTATTTAAACTCTTATTCTATTGGTAAATAAAATAGAGCAGAATAATAATAAACTTAAGGACCAATTAATATTGAAAAACCAATTGTGACTCCATTTTGACAAAATGGAGTCACAATTTGTTTTTCAATATTAATCAAAAATACAAAATTTTTGTAACTTCATCAAAATAGCAGATTTTTAGATGTTATCAATAAAGTCTCCAAATTGAAGCTATTAAATAGCTTCAGAAATAATTTCTATTTGATCCATCTAAAAACACTACCTTTTTGATTTGTTTATGTTTTTTTCGAACTTTTTTCAAATCGAATCGAACATTTTTATAGAAATTTTTGCCTATGAAAAGATTCTTAATTTGTTTTAAACAAGTTAAATACATGGAAAAAAAAATTAATGTTGAATATTAAATCTCTCGTGCTACATTGGTGCTAAGTATATCAAAGGTGCATTAATAGATTTTTTTAAAAAGTGCAATTACCTATAAAACTCTAACTTTTTTTTAAAGTTAATGCATTTTAGTTAATCAGAAATAGTTTATCTTATTTAAAATGTCAAATTTCATACGTGAACACTTTTTAATAAGAACTATCATTAATAAAACTCAGACGTCAAAAATCATGTTTTTATTAAAAAGTGGTATGTAGTTTGCACGAATGATTACTCTAAAGTGAAACGAATTTTTTAAATGTTGTAGGTAAAACTGTTGATCATTTATAGATCAAACTAGATTACTTGTGGTCTCTATTCCCTACACTTAGTCTTCACTATTTTAAGTATTTAAATTTCTCATTTTTGTCGGAAATTTTGTCTCACAATTTTGTTTTAATACTTTTCTGTGATTAACTTTTTTTTTTTCCATGAAAAGATTTCCCTTGAGTTTATAGATCATATAATGAAAAGGTTTTATTTATTTAAAAACATTTTAGAGTTTTTAGGTGTTGCGGAATGTTGGAATATTTTTTAGGCTAGGCGAAATCGCAAAATATTCTCAAGTTTAAAATAGTTAACATCTATTGTTTTGCTTTTTTTGTTTTTAACAATAAATGGCGCGGATATCTTGGCTTTTAAACAATACTTTCTAACATCTAAACGCCTTGGTATAATAAATAAAAAGCGCCTATTTACTCGCAGAAAATGTCACAGATTGTAAGTTTTCAAAGTAGACATATAACGTATTCAGTACGTCTAAAATACGTATTAAAGATATTATTGTGTTTATTAGACGTCTTGATACTTGTACACACAACTAAACACAAGACTCTTTTGGAAAAAGGATATTCGTGGCTATCCGAGATATCTTTAGTTACAGAGCATGGATTTAGTAAACCAATTACGCATCTTGATCCTAGAAACCCTACATTTTCTAAAAACATATGGGTTATAGTATGAAGCTTTCGTCGAGATCAGAGGCACTTTTTTTTTTTTTTTTTTTTTATAATGAAGTTTAATACGCAAATGAAAGAACTATTAAAAGCCCATGAAAATACTTTATTAAAAATCTTTGGAGAGAAAACTGATAAACTTGAAGGGAAAATAGAGTAATTAAAAAACTAAAGCATATCACTAAAAAATAAAAGTGCTACAATCAGAGCCGTCCCGAAAAGATTTTAAAGGGCGAGGGAGGGTGACGTGTTTGTTTTTTGCCGATTAAAGCCAAAAAAAAATTTTTTTTGCCCACTATCTTATCTAAAAAAACAAAGGTCCTCTTTTCCGACATTTGCCGACTGCCAACTATAAATACTATTTTGCCGAATCCAGTGTCCAATTTGCCCACTTATAAAATTGGTAAAGGGGGCTAGCCACCCCCTCGGGATGGCCTTGGCTACAATAAACAACAGGATGAACTTTCAAAACGAATATTACAAAAAAAAAAACAATAAGGAAACAAACGAACTTAATAAAAAACTAAAAAATCACAATAAAGAAAATGAAAAAAAAAAAATCCAACGAACTTTTTATAGACAATAATGCTGAATTAGAAGATCGCAACAAGAGATTCAAACAACTTGAGGTTCGAAAGTTTTGAAGAAAAAGAAAACAAATCATGGGAAGAAAGCGAGTCGAAGGTATAATATTTTATTAAAGAAAATTTAAATATAAAACATGACATTCAAATAGAAGGAGCTCACAGAACTGGAAAAAGAAATGTATCTGGACAAAAAAAGCGACACACAATAGTTGTAAAGTTCCTAAACTATAAAGACAAAGAAAAAAATATTACATCATAATAAACGACTAAAGTTTTGGAATGAACGGATATATCTCAACGACAATTAAGGCGAAAGAACGATTGAAAAAAAAAATACTCTTTGCGAAACCTGTGCTCATGAAAAAATAATTACAAAAATGAATAACTTTCAATCGCTAATCTATAATTTTTACGAAAAATACATTACATCAGATAAAAACACACACCCAGATGTAAATTTTTTGAGTGATATGTACACGGACAGTTTATACCATTACCCCAGTACCATTAAAAAATTTCTTTTTAAAAATGCATATGATATAAACAGTAAAAGAATCAGAATCCTCCACATTAATATAAGGAGTTTAAGCAAAAATAAAGAAAACTTTCGACATTTTCTAAAAGAAACTAAAACATTTTTAATGGAAACTTGATGCTCTTCTTTCGAACTTGAAATTTTCATTGAAATTCGAACTTCTAAAAGAAACTAAAACATTTTTAATGGAAACTTGATGCTCTTCTTTCGAACTTGAAATTTTCATTGAAATTCGAACTTCTAATTTTCATCTCAAGAATTTTGAATTAGTGTCATTAGAAATTAGTAAGACAAACAAATAAAAGCGGTGGAGGAGTTCTGATATACATTAAAGAAAACGTTGCATACGTTAAAGAAAACGTTGCAAGTTAGAAGCAATTTTAGCGTTTCTGACCAAGATAAAGAGATTGCAACAATTAATTTAATTATTAACAAAGGAAAAAACATACTTGTATGCAGCTGCATTATTGG